TATATATATATATATATATATATATATATATCGTGTGCACAAAGTTAAAAAAAATAACACTTGTATACGTTATCAGTACAACAGTAGCAATTTTAAAATGCGCGTTTTATTTATGATATTATCTTTTAGAATTTTCATCTTTACTAATATTTTGCTTTCTGGAGCCCTCACTCAAAGCGAGGAAAGAAGGAGAGACAGAGGAAGAGAAGGTTATTCGATAGTGGAGCTCTCAAAAAAAAAAAATACAGCCTGAAATGAGCTGCAGAAGAGAAGGAAAGAGGGTAAAAACAAATGTTCAAAAGCTTAAGAAACCTACTTGATGGTCGCCCCACTACTTGATTACTCTAACTATTCACAGTTTTAAAAAGTAATAGAGAAAGAATTATATAGCTGTTTACGCAAGAAGAGAAGATGTGACGTAACACATCTTAAATAAGAATGAAAAACATATTGTAAAGGTGAGATGCGACAGAAATGCTAGAAGAAATGATTTTGTTTCTAGCCTTTTAAAGTTGAAATGCTTTTTAAAAGGTAATACTGCATAGTTGACCGACCTATGCTGACAAACGTCTTACTTTTTGGGATAGAACAAGAGTGTAGAAGGAGAAGGAGTAAGTGAACGACGCAGAAAATAGTGTTCGAACAAAAACTAAGTACGCGAGGCACATTTTCCGTATCAGAATAAGCTTCTGATAGTGAGAAAACAGAAAAATGAACATCACTTTTGCGTCGTTTAAAGACGACAAATGAAGCAGAAAGCAGCATATGAGCTCCAAAAGCTGTCAGTCACGGAGCATTTGCTATACACGAGAAGTTCTAGCGTACAAATTATGTGCTAATCATTTTTTGTTATACTTGTACTCGCAGAGCGTCAATGACCCAATGTCTCCCTCTCTTGTCTTTCCCTCCGTCTCGCAGGAAAACGCGTGGAGAAGTCTTCAAAGGCGAAAGAGGAAGGAGCGACCCTAGAACGACCCTGACATGCATAAAAACCTCTAGTATTATATAACATAAACCTTTATAATGTATGCCGTACAAGATTTAAACACATATTGTCCATAGCATCAGTTAAAACTCCACAAGTGTAACTCATTCTTTTAAACTCTTTTTCTTTTGCATATTAACTACTAAACTAATCTGATTTATGGGAAACCAAAGTCTGTTTATGCAGCCTAAACAAAGTACCACTAGTGAAAATTATAAGGTAAAAAACAAAGTGTTTAAAAAGCAGTTGAAGAAGCAAAAAAGAAAAAGTTGGAAAAATTTGCGCTTGTTTTGTGTCATACACGTTACGAAAAATTTTTTTGACAGTAATACGTAAAAAGTCAGGTGAGTAAGTTTTTGCGTAATTGCGAAGTAAGCAAAATTCAAAAATTAGCAGATTAGAGCAGGTGCTCGGTGAAAACACCCATTTCAACTTCAAAAATTGTCTTTGTCAGCTTCCTTACTCAACGCTGGTTGCCAACCATTGGCATTAACCAATTCCTACTTTTTTATTCAAATAATTATAAAAAAAACAGCATTTCTTGCAATAAAGAACGGTAATGTATCTGTTCTTATATTTTTATAGTCAAAAGTTCACTCAAAAATTTAATCTTTATTTTTCATACTGCATCCTAACAAATAGGATAAAAGTTTGCAAAACCTATTATTTCAATTTTTTTGCCCTCGAATACGATTAAAAATTTGACTGCCTTTTCAAAAGATATTCCACTGCAGATTTTTTATCCTGCTATTATTG